ATTTTGAGGGAGGTTGTAGACTGAGGTGTGGCGTCATTTTAGAGGGGGGGGGGGTCTGGCTTTTTGTGACGATGTGTGACGGAGGGGAAGGGGAGGTAAAATTCGTCCAAAAAAGCGTGACGTCATTTATGGATGACCCCTATACTATTAAATCTAACAACTATATCTATATGATAATGCTTAGTATTTTATGAAATTAAGCTCGTTTTGAATATTAGTGACTATTTTTGAGTTATATAATAGGGCGGCTGGTCTAGCGGTAGAGCGCTAGACTGCAAATATGAAAGTCAGGAGTTCGATTCCGAGTTCAAGTCAGTAGGACGCGTCCCTAAGTCCACCTAGCCTAACTCATGTTAGAGAGAGCAGAGGTGGCTAGGTATAGTGTTGACCACACTATCTCTTCACAGAATCAAGTGAACTCTACTTCTAAAGGACCGTACATGTTGGAAAAGGAAACTTTCCTTACTTTACTTACTCGAGTACTTTTAAAATGAGTAACGCGTGCCGAACATGTGTGCAAGTAAGGTATCATTTCTGATAACAATTGTCACTGTAGCAGTTTGTTCCCACGCGTGCCAATGTCACCCATTGATAAAGCCATTTCTTGAGTAACAGCTTCTGTCACACAATTACAGAATTTGTAATCAACATTTTAATTAACTATTGACAGGTCTGTTTTAAAGAAACGACATCAATCAAATTGGACCAAAAAAATTTGCACCGGACATGAACCACCGACCAAATCAGGGGGTGGTGACTGCTAACGGTTAACCCATCCCGGATCATTTCCCAACCCCTGATATTAACCCCTACTCTGCGGTCGATTTTCACCATATATATTAGCCCCCCCCCCCCCCAAGCAGAGGCGTAGCGACCCTTCCCGGCGCCCGGGGACAAACTTTTCGATTTGCACCCCCCCCTCAACCTTTGAATTTATTTTTCCAACCCATTTTGGCGCCCCCTAAGGTCGGCGCCCGGGGACATATGTTCCCCCCCCCCCCCCGCTACGCTACTGCCCCCAAGAGTAGGACATTACCGCTTGTCGATTATCCCTCCCCCTTTTTTTTCTTTGTCCCAATCATCAAGTTGACTGTATTTGTAGACATTTTGATGTTGCTAAAGAGCTAAATTTGAGTTTACTTTCTGACGTCATTTTTAGGACGGTTGCTTTTTGTGACGACGTACAATGATAGTGTGGTGGGAGGGGTGGGGGAAAGATAGTTTACCGCGTGACAAGAAACATGCGCACAGAAAAATACGCACACGAAAAATTTTGCGTATTTCTTTCTGTCAATAAACGACGTCACACGTATACAGAGAAGTGAAGAGGTTCAGAATATTTGAAACAAATTATGTGGGAGGAAGATAAGTGTGACGACACAACGTTTGCATTTTAAAAAGTTGTGTTAGAAACTGAATTTTAGTCGTTATTTGACAGTTTTAAAAGCCGTATTTAAATAACACTTGATATAGAATTTGATTTATATAGGCCGTAGGCCTACTCAATGTAGTCAGTAAATATTTTAGAAAGGAATACTACACTTTTGAAGAACAGGGGAATCTGGCTTGTTGTGACGATAAATGACACTGAGCAGGGAGAGGTTTAAAAAAAGTATGACATTGTTTTCAGATGACCCCTTGAACATTTTTCTGTGTGCAGAGTTTCTTCCAGGCATCTCTTCGGGGGCTAAGCCCCCCCCCAACGAAATGAAATTTATATAATTTTTTATAGAAAATATATACTTTTAACATTGTCCGCCCCCCCCCCCCCCCTACCGAAGAAAGTCTACCTCCCTCCCGAAAATTTCAAGTGCCCCCCCCCCCCCCCCAACAAAATGAAATTTATATAATTTTTTATAGAAAATATATACTTTTAACATTGTCCCCGTCCCCCCCCCCTCCCGAAAATTTCAAGTGCCCCCCCCCCCTCGGAGAAAAAAGTCTGGAAGAAACACTGTCTGTGTTTGATGTAGTTCGCGCGCGTGTGTGTGTGTGTGTGGCGGGAGGTTTCGATCTGCCCAGCAGAGTTTCTTCAAGGCATCTCTTGGGGGGGGGGGGGGGGGCTCTCAAGTCTAAAGTATCCAGAAGAAAATATATACTTCTACCCCCCCTCCCAGAGAAAAATGTCTGAAAGACACAGCTGCCCAGTCCTGGATTATTGCTGAGCATCGAACCCAAACTCCTTGTCGGCCGTAAGACACGAGTAGACCACTACATAGGGATTAGGGTTAGGTTGAGAGTTTAGGGCTGAGTTTAATAAACATGGTGCCATGGCTTTGGTTAAGTACCATGATGGAAAATGCAAATCGATCCTAAAGATAAGAAATTGCTCTATTTTTAAAAATCAGAATTGCATCAGAGGAGTATCAACATCATAATTTTAATTTTAAAAGTCCGTGAAGTTTTGCTTAAAGCGAATCATTTACCGAGAAAAATCTATTGGATATCAGTCTGTTCTTGCTTTAGCTAATCTAGACAAAGTTTGTGTAGTTTTGCTTTAAGCGAACCACTTAGGGGTCATCCATAAATGACGTCACACTCGTAGGGGGGAGGGGTCCGTAATTTTGTGACGATGTGTGATGAGGGGAGGGGGGGGGGGGTTCAGATGTTGCGACGTCACACTTTTGCATTATAAAAAAGCAATGTTAGAAAACGAATTTTAGACGTTATTTCGCGTTTTAGATAACTGTTTTAATAAATTGTAATAGTTTAGACAAGATTTTGGAAAAATATCGATGTTTAAAAAAAAAATTCAATTGCAATTTTGAGGGGGGGGGGGGTGTAGGTTGAGGTGGGACGTCATTTTAGGGGGGGGGGGTCTGGCTTTTTGTGACGTGTGACGGAGGGGAGGGGGAGGTAAAAATCGTCAAAAAAAAGCGTGACGTCATTTATGGATGACCCCTTACCGAAAAAGATCTATTGGATATCACGCTGTTCTTGCTTTTAGCTCATCTAGTCAAAGTTCGTGAAGTTTTGCTTTAAGCAAATCACCGAGAAAGATCTATTGGGTATCACGCTGTTCTTGCTTTAGCTCATCTAGTCAAAGTTCGTGAAGTTTTGCTTTAAGCAAATCACCGAGAAAGATCTATTGGGTATCACGCTGTTCTTGCTTTAGCTCATCTAGTCAAAGTTCGTGAAGTTTTGCTTTAAGCAAATCACCGAGAAAGATCTATTGGGTATCACGCTGTTCTTGCTTTAGCTCATCTAGTCAAAGTTCGTGAAGTTTTGCTCTAAGCGAATCACCGAGAAAGATCTATTGTGTATCACGCTGTTCTTGCTTTAGCTCATCTAGTCAAAGTTTGTGTAGTTTTGCTCTAAGCGAATCACTCACCGAGAAAGATCTATTGGGTATCACGATGTTCTTGCTTTAGCTCATCTAGTCAAAGTTTGTGTAGAATAGCTTTAAGCGAATCACTTACCGAGAAAGATCTATTGGGTATCACGCTGTTCTTGCTTTAGCTCATCTAGTCAAAGTTTGTGTAGTTTTGCTCTAAGCGAACCACTTATCGAGAAAGATCTATTGGATATCAGTCTGTTCTTGCTTTAGCTCATCTAGTCAAAGTTTGTGTAGTTTTGCTCTAAGCGAACCACTTACCGAGAAAGATCTATTGGGTATCAGTCTGTTCTTGTTGCTCATCTAGTAAAAGATCTAAGCGAACCACTTACCGAGAAAGATCTATTGGATATCACGCTGTCTGGAGATCCCAATATTAACATCTGATCAATTGAATTTGTTTTCAGTATGAGCAGAACTTCTAGTTGTGTCGTAATTAATTTGTGCGGTCTAATGTAAAAAAAAAAAACTATTAAGGGATGCGAAGGTCTCTTGTTAGGTCAACTTTGGGATTGCATAACGTCCCTGAGTCCACTCAGCTATGATGGGTACCTGACACACATTGGGGGAAAGTAAAGGCGGCCGGGCATAGTGCTGACCACAGTATCACTTCATATGTAGAGCTCTACTTCACCTGCCCTATGGATCGTTAGGTCTGAAAGGTGGACTTAATTTATTGTAAAGCTTAGAGGTATGACATTTGTTCTGTTTTGTAAAATATCAATGTGAATCATTTGATATCAAGAAGTTGTATATACTTGCAACTTTGCACTGTCACAATATTAGTGTTGCAACTTGGTAAGACACATCATCATGAAGATGTCAGTTTAACACTTAGTAAATGTTTGTTCTCTGCAGATGAAAATGTTTTTTTTAATGAATATTTTTTTAAAGCTCAAAACTACTCAGCCAAATTGACAAAAACCCCATAAAAAATGTGTTCCATAAGGGAAGCTGCCACTGAGATACCATGCTTTAAGTATAATGGGTAGTAAAGGAAACTTGTAAGTGTAAAATTAGTAAAGGAAACATGTGTAAGTGTAAAATTAGTAAAGAAAACGTGTAGTGTAAAATTAGTAAAGGAAACATGTGTAAGTGTAACATTAGTAAAGAAAACGTGTAGTGTAAAATTAGTAAAGAAAACATGTAAGTGTAACATTAGTAAAGGAAACGTGTAAGTGTAAAATTAGTAAAGATAACGTGTAAGTGTAACATTAGTAAAGAAAACATGTGTAAGTGTAAAATTAGTAAAGAAAACATGTGTAACATTAGTAAAGAAAACATGTGTAAGTGTAACATTAGTAAAGGAAACATGTGTAAGTGTAACATTAGTAAAGGAAACGTGTAAGTGTAACATTAGTAAAGGAAACATGTGTAAGTGTAACATTAGTAAAGGAAACGTGTAAGTGTAAAATTAGTAAAGAAAACATGTGTAACATTAGTAAAGAAAACATGTGTAAGTGTAACATTAGTAAAGAAAACATGTGTAAGTGTAACATTAGTAAAGGAAACATGTGTAAGTGTAACATTAGTAAAGGAAACATGTGTAAGTGTAACATTAGTAAAGGAAACATGTGTAAGTGTAACATTAGTAAAGAAAACGTGTAAGTGTAACATTAGAAAACATATTGTAAGTATAACACAAGTAAAGAAGACAACACACAAGTTCACCGTTACAACAGCCCATTTATTACATTTGTTGCTAAAAAAAACCTCTGACAGTAGCTAACATTGAAATGTCCACGCTAGAATTCACGGGAGCACAAAAAGCGTTATACTGAGATGAGTATTGAAAGATAAAGTAGACACTCAATATCATTGAAAACAGTTATAGCCACTCAATATCATTGAAAACAATTACAGTTGCAATTACTATAGAAAAAAAATAAGATTGCTTATAAAAAATATGAAAAATTTAATATCATTAGAATGTAAATACGGCACCCAATGGTGAAGATAAAGCTAAGGACTAAGCACTTAAAAACTTCAAGATGAAACCTAAATGTCATTTCGCTGCCTGTAATTGAATTATCTAAACAAAAACAAATGTACTAATTCTGGGATCAATTTCTCTCATCATTAAGATGACTAGAATTAATTCATGTACACATTTTCTCCAAACAAATGTATACATTTTTTGAATTGATCTTTACTTCTGTGTTTGGTATTTTAACATGTTTGCAGCTGTGGATTAGCACAAATTAGGTTTACTAGTCAGCTGACCTCAGAAAATTAGTTTTTTTTTTCATTCTGTTCAAGCAAGGAAAGGTAACTCACAAATATGTCACTTCTTCCACTAAGTATCTGAACAAGCAGGTAGATGTGTTATTTGGATATAGAACACACAGGACAGTAAGAGCACACACAAGAGGCAACATGTTTCAGCACAGATCATTTCTTCTACAACACCAAACCTCTCCACAGAAAATGGCAGTCTTTTCATGCCTTTACAACTAAACATGTTTTGATTACTTGTTTAGTTTGATTTTGATGAAATTGTATGTTCAAACTTTTGCAAAACAGCCCAACTGTATTGGATATAAAATGTAATTGTATGTTCAAACTTTTGCAAATAAGCCCAACTTTATTGGATACAAAATGTATTAGAAAATACTTGAGGATAAACATGCAGATAGATTTGAAAAAATAATTAACTGTGCTAGCTCACGCACAGACAAAAACTTAGCAAATGAGCAGTTGCGTCAGACACGTGTACCTAAGTCTGAACTCTGAGCAAACAGTATAACAAAAATAGTTTTACAACATCTTTAACTAAACGTGTCTGTGCCTTAATGCTAGCACTGAGCAAACAGTATAAAATAATAATAACAGCCTGAAAGCAACAGCATAGACGCCCCTGTCCAACTATCTTCTCTTTCATTTATAACTGATTGAACAAGTTGAATGTGCTTTGATCTTTTCTCAAGTCAAACGCTCTTCTTTATTAGAAAGGTTTAATGACTTGTTTTAAAAAAAAAAGTAGAGTATGCTGTATTGCTCATTGACTGCAAAAAGTACACCCAGGCACCTAATCTGAATGCTTGAGGTCATTCTTGTAAAAATTAATGTATAATTTTAAAATAACTTACAACAAGACCCTAATAAAATAAAAAGCAAACCCTAGACCAAGCCTACAGTTGCATAGAAAAGGGAATAAGCTTTGCTCCACTTAACAATGTAACTTCAATGAGTTCATACACAACAGCTGTGGAGTGGTCAACCAAGTACAACTGACTTCCCCATCTGTTCATTAAGTACATGTGAGAGGTAAGTAGCTGCACTCTACCTTTCTAATGCAAAGCTAATTATGTATTACACCTTTCTATAACGGAAATGGACCAAAATAATAGTTGACATAAACAGTCAAGAAATTGATTCAAGAAATTAGAGTCCGCTTTGAACAAAACAATGAAAAAATTGTTTCACCACTACAAGCTCTTTCATTTCTATTAATTTCTTCCTTTTGAAGGTAAATGTGTGCCAACAAGGAGTAAAAAAATAATACAGTTACACCCAAAATTGATAATTACAATGTGTAAAAAAAAAACCACACATGTAAATATTGCTTTTCCATAAATAATTAAATATGTAAACATTCCCTGGGGTACAAAAGTGGTTTGCAGGTAGACACAACCTCTTAGGGTGGTGTGGTGGAGCAGTTAACTTCAAACATTGACATTTGAAGAGTCAAATAGTTATTTTCTCTATCATTTACATATTCAATGTAGTTCTGACAAATTTAACCGTATGAAATTTTAAAGGGGGATTTTTCACCGTTGCCACCCTTTTTTAAGATGTTGGATGCAAGGGGTATAAAAATAGTCCAACAGCCATTTGTTACTAGGTTCTCAGGAGCTTTGAATGGATTAGCATTCTTACCCTCAAGGGATTGAATACACATTAGTTCACAACAATATTTCAAATACCAAATAAAAAGTAAAGTTATCAAAAAATTAAATGCTGACACTTTACAATTGTGCTTAAAATAAAAATACTGACACTTTACAACTGTGCTAAAAATAGAAGCAATTAATACAAGACATGTCACCAAGAGAATAGAGCTGGGATTACATCACTGTATATAAATAAAAAAATTCAGATGTACAACAGTGTAGACAATGACTAGAAGTATACACAAGATTACATGAAGATATATCACATTTAGTCAACAATCAGCTGCCCAAATTAGTAGAGTAAAAAATAAAATGGATTATAGACTAGACTGTTTGATCTGGCCTGCCCTATAGTCTCAGTTATTGCACTACAATGGTAACTTCATTGACCTAGCCTTTAAAAAAACAATGTATTAAAATAGAATTAGGAGACAAGTTTGAGCAAGTACCTGGCCAGTACAGGCATGGTGCCATCTTACCCTTGTGCAGGTGGTGTTAAAACTAACTTGCATTGTCCTCTGATGGTAGGTCACATGGACATTTACTTAATTAATTAAGTGTGAGGGCCTATGAGTATGTTATGTAAATAAGCATGGTTGACCCTCTTATAAATGGATGTATACATTCCATAATACTTTATATTAAGAATCAGGATAAAAGAGTATTTAAAGCACATTCAAATAATCACAAATGTGATTATTGCATTCATAACTAACAACTTTAAAAATGTTAAAAATACACAATACATTTTTAAGAACAATAAGTATAATAAATGATCTTCTATGAATGATTATGCCATTAAATAGATGACAAAATATCTTGTTTTCTAATTCTAGACCATGCACTGTTATAGGCTTCACACAGTAAAAAACCGGAGTTTCTCTCCAGGTATTTTTAAATATTGCAATGTAAAGAACACAACTGTAAAAAAACAAACCCACACCACAGTGTATTGCATAATAAATGTAAGACAAAAAGGAAAATACACCTTGGTATATACAAGTTAAAAAGCACAAGTTGTATCTTACAGAACAGAATGGCACTATAAGATTGTATAAAGATATGAGCTGCAAGGAGCTAAAGATCTTAAAGAAACAAACTCCATGAATCAATTTCAGGGGTTCAAGGGGAATACAAATGTTAAAATACAGGAACACATTATTTTATGCTTAAAAATTGATTAGTTAAACAAGAGATTAATAATAAAAAAAATTAATGTACAGAGATTCTGCCTTTGTAAATGTTGAGAAAATACCTCAAAAAATTGATCACACAACAAAGTAAAATTCACGTCTGTAAGCAATAATTTTAAATACAAAAAATTATTTCAATTAAAAGGAAAAAAAAAACTTATCCCTGGCATAGTTGTACATTTTAGTTTCCAGGGCTGTAGCTTGAATGATTGATATACATATATATATAAATATATATATATATAAAACACAGGCTATTCCTTTCTAAGATATGTTTTCAGAAAACAAAGACTGGTGATATTAAATGTATATTCTTGCATTAAACAAACTAGGACTAACAATCAACAGAAGAAAAGCCTACTCTCTTTAACAAAAGTTACAGTAAATGAAGGTTAGTACATAGTAAGGGTACACTGCCACCATTATCCTCAGCGTCTTGACACTGTGTACTGCCGACTCCATCCAGTATTCCAACATTGTGGTTGTTGTCAAGGTGATTCAGTGTGCTTGTAGACAGTCCTAGACCTAAGCATTGGTTTGAGGAGGGTAATATTCCTGCAGTGGGGCGTTAGGTTGAGAGCCATAGGCGGGGGACCCATACTGCTGGGAATCATTGGTAGCCAGCATGGGTTGCTGGGTAGGATGCAAAATAACTCCACCAGAGGATACGGTCTAGCAGAAAAAAAAATTATTAAAACATTAGGAACTGTGTAGAAGAAAGAAAACTCAACTCCAACTCTTCTGGTAGTGAAAAGCCAACAAGCTGGACTTCTTAATGGTTTTTGGCCTAAGTACTTGTTGTAAAGGAAGCTAAAGCTAATTATGTTTAATACAATCAGGTAAAGAAGAATCATATCATGGAAAAATAACTTAAAAACCTTAGCTCCAATAAAATGTCAATGGGTATAGGAATCTATTCTGTATAACATTAATAAGCCACGGAAGTATGTCTGTTTATTCTATTTTCAACTGAAATGCAACAGGGTTTGTATGTTTACAGATTTTTTAATTCAATTTTGTGTGTGATCTTCCACAGGGGCTGTCAAGAATTACCCAAAAATAAGTCAAACCAACCAAACTGATGTTTCCAGGACTATTGCAATTACTCTATTTGTAGCAGGGACCTCAGCGAGGATAGTATCAAAGGTATTCGAGAGGCCCATTAAATATTTAAAAAATCATGCGCGGTGTAATTAAAATCAATTTGGTTTTAAAATTAGGACTGTTTGGTTTTTTCGGACTTTAAAATAATGTGGATGTATATCACGTTTTAGTATTTTCGGTAACAATATGATAGAAGGATTCTCGTTAACTTGGTGGCCTCCATTTATTAAAATGTATCTTTTACTAATCTAATACAAATACAATTGTTATGTACAAGCACCATTTAGCACTAAGTTAAAATGTACTCCTCATATTCTAATCTAATTTTTTAATAATATATTTCTTTAAAAAAAAAACCAACATACCTTGGCACAGCAAGTGAGGTAACAGCACACAATAAACTGTGCAAACAGAGCTACCCAAACCAGGATGATCACAATAAATATGGACATGATGAAGGCATAGATTGTTTCAAATGTGTCACATGTCTCTTGGAAACTAGTCACCTGACCATCTGGACCCCTAAAAATATTTACAAACATATGAGACATCTATAAAAGAAATACCCACCAAAGAATTGAAAAAAAAAATGTAGAGGCTACCCACTTGCATGTGCACTTGTTGTCACCAACAGTTTCACAGGATGCTGAGAATATAGCTGCACCAAATAGAAGCAGGACTACTGTTAGGCCAGATACGACAATCAGAGCACCCATCACCAGCAGGGACAGGATACAGAACACCAGGGAGGTCACATACTGTTGCAGATATGGGCAGATACAGTCTACACAATGTCACATGCACAAACATTTTTAAGCTTGTCATCTGAGTATATTACACAGAATAAGATAGAATTGTCTGCTGCTAAGTAATGAGGTTTGGATAGACCACATCAAGCTGTAGTGTAGATGATGGTTTCTTATTAAGCTGACATTGCCTGTCAAGGCAGGTTATGCAGGATAACTTCATGGCCTAGATAATGACATTCAATACTCAAAAAAAAAACACTGTCTCCACACCACTAGTTTTAACTAGCCCGGAATTATTTTCACGTTTTACCGGAATAATTTTTTTCCACTACCCCTGCGGCTAAACAACCCATATCTTTTTACCTGTTAATTTAAACCCCACACTTTATTGATAAAAATTAATCGTAATTGAATGCCACACTTATATACATTTTAAGGAATTATTTATTCGTTGAAGAAAGAAAATTAGGCCTACTTAGTTTTAAAGAAGAAAAAATAAAGAGCTGATTTTTTCAGGCAAATATTACGCTTCTGTCGGGAAAATTAACAATAAGAATTACTTTTCATGAGTTCTTATTCATAGAAAACAAAAGTACGTCCATTATTCTACAAAAATAATGGATCAGATTAGTCTTAGTATAAATATGTTAATTTTGGTTAATTTTATAATGCGGCGACGTAAACGTTCAGACGCGGCCGCTATACAGCATTCGGCAGTGTTATTTTACACAATTTTTTTATATAAAATCAATCTAGCGAGAAAACTACAAGAAGTAAATACAACAAAAAATGGCTGCTCTAGCATTATCATGACCTAGATTTACGATTAAAAACTTGGATGCTGAAAAAAAAAATGAATTAAATAGGGAAAATTTTATCGGACGCTGGCCTGTCGACTGCTGGGAGTGTCGTTACGGACTTAAAGAGTTAAACACTTGCCAGGCAGAGAGAATACTCCTGTCATTGAGGTTGCTGACCAGCGCTACAATAAAGCTTATAAATCTCTATCGTTTAAAAATTCAAAATCTCGTTAGCCAGGAATTATTTTGAATGCAATAATCACATTTATGATTATTTAATGGGCTTTAAATACAAATATTTTAGCAGCAGAAAAAATTAAAAAAAACAAACTAACTCACCATGCACTTGTTCTGGACTAAAGCAGCAATAACACCTAAACACCCAGGAATGATGTACTGAAAGTGACAGAGACATACAATTGTTACGTTTCATGCACTTTATATTTAGTCATATAAACAAATGGAAACGTTGATTAGAGTACAGTAGATATATCAAAAGTATAAATACAATTATATTAATAGATTAAAAAATGAGCAAGCAGCACAAGGATTTTAAAATGGTAAATTGTATGTTGAAGTCAAACCACCCCAGTACTAGTAACTTAAGAGCAGCTTTCATTTTTCTCCTACAGGAGGGGAGAGGGGGCAGTGCCCCCAAAGAGATGCATGAAAGTAACTGTGCACAAGAGAAGTATCACACTTAGCTGACACTCAACTTAAACCTCAAGAGCTGTGGCAGCCAGCTCCATGTGTCCTTGGCACAAAAGGGAAAAGATGATGATGAACTTAAACCTCAGGTTATTCCCTTGTCCCTGGCATACATCAAAGTACCATACATTTTGAATTAAAAAATAATAGTAGAAAAACTTACTAGAAAGCCTAAAACCCAAAATGGAAACGATTGGATAATCTTAAAAGATTCAGACCAATCTTTCTCATCATTAGAATCTTCTCTAGTTGAGTACTTTGTTGTGAAATCAGTTGACTTGACCTCTTTCTTTATGGCATCATCAAAAAAGTTAGCAAAGAAGTACAAAAGAAGAGCGAAAGCCACACCTAGGGATTAAAAAAAACAACAACAGACACTTTACTTGTAAGGTCAATGCTAAAAAACAGTTTGATTGATTCTAGGTGGGATCACATGGCCACATAACTAAAAAAAAATAAGCCAAGCCCAACCAGTCCAATGCCATAGTTTTATTTAATTTAGTAATATGACATGCTACACCAAAATCAAACTAGTTGTATGTGTTAAGCTCATGTCAAATGAGAGAACTAATTTTGTATACAAACAATCTGAGTAAAAGAGTCTATTTCTTCGGCTTAATATCAGTCAAATGGGAGAATTCATGGCTGCTAACATGAACTTCGAGAGTTCTAACCCCCGGGAGAGAATGCTTGTTAGCTGGAGAGAAAACTCCTAAATCAAACAGTTGTCGAGACCCTTATTTTAATGATATCTAATCTACAGTTTTGATTTTATTTATTTTATTGGTACACTTTGTAGGCATAAATAGTATGAAACTAGATACAGTGTAAAGAATATAGAACATATTATATAGGCCTTATTTTTTCATCACCATAAAAAAATCTCAAAATATTATCACAAATTTAACAGCATAATTATTTATTCTTTTTATTTAAAATTTAGGCAACTAGTTGAAGTTGGGGCATGGATCATGTTTTAATTGTAGCATTCTTGTATACAAGAATTTGTAGGGCTCAATGTCAGGGTAAAAGATTTAGTTATACAAATACAAAAGTAAGGCCCAAGAAGCTCCAAATTTGTATTGTGCCACGGAACTAGCCAAGGAGTTGCATTTGACTCAAATTTGGTTTAGAAGAAGATACATGATCTAGCATCCACAGACCATATACTTCTTGCCTATACTAATCATCCGGGCCAAGATAGCTTTTTTATTGCAAAAATCCACAGCGAGATAGTTTTTTGTTCCATGCTTTTGGTGGAATGCTTATAGATGGATATATCATGAGTGTTGTATGTAGCTCTTTTTAAAAAAATTGATATTTTTTTTAAACAAAGAAAACCGTAACAATGTTGCTCATGTTTTCTTGTTAGCTGGAGAAAAATCTTGGTAGACGGGTGATTGTGAGTTCATAATGAGAATACTATTTTAGACTAGGTCTAGCCTACATTTTTAAAAGTGTAGATTTATATTAAAATTCTAAACATTTGTCGCTCACTCTCGCTGATTGAGGGGTCACAGTCAGTGCATACAAAAACTTTAACATAGATAATAGACTGAGCAATAGCAATATGACAAACATGCTTAGGGTCATTGTGAGTTCATATAAACTTGTAAGTGGGAGAAATATTTAGCCACATTGTTAATGTAAGGCTAATACCTTTCTATTCTTTAGCACTTTGTATTGCTGTACTAATAGAAAGCATAGAAGTATATAAACAATTTACAAAGTGTACTTTATTTTTTGATCAGTCATTTTTATTAGGCCTATAAACATTACAAAAAAAAAAAAAAAAAATCAGCAAAATTTACAAAGTCTTCTAAAACAGAACTAAATCTACTAAAACATACTTTATGACACCATTATTCACACAGTGCATCCACCCCAGTTCATTAGCCTTCCATAAAAAAAAAATAAATTTCATTGGCAACTTCTTCCAAGCCACATTTACAACATGTCACATCCTCATCGCATTTTATCTTTCTTAGGAATGCCAAGCAACAGAAACAAATTTCAAATGCAGTGTTCCGGGTGGTTTTTGAACAGGATGGTATTCTAAGTCAAGACAAAAAAAAACAAGCTGACAAACACACCTGACAAACGGAAAAATTGCAAGACATAACAATACAAATGAAAAGTCTTTGCATTCTGCATTAAAGTTAATTGTAAATAGCAGACAACTTTGTATTGACCACTCCCCCCAGCTTAAGACTCAGGTGTGGGTAAGATAGGAGACAAAAATGTTACATGGCCAGTGGTAGTAAAACTACATTTAAGCGGATTTTCTTTTGCTGCTCAACATTTACGTGCAGTTGAGCGTATTTAATTCAAACACAACCAAAACATACAAAAAAGCTTAGAAAACACTAGATCTACCTTCATTATTATGCTATTCTTATCTTTCAATTAAAAAATCTCTAAAATACCGCTTCAATATCAAACCAAACTATGTGAATATTTAACTTGAAATTATTAATTTTACACACATTACAAGCAACTGGTAATAATTTATGGTGTTTATGAGATGTGCTAGGTGAAAATGATCACCCCATCAATAATGCCATTTTATTTTTATTAGGGCCTATAGGCCTAATATTTTTTTGGTGAAAACGAGGGTGCGGGAAAAAGTGTGCCGCGCAAGAATCCAATCAATTGGCTAGATTTATGACTAAGTATTTTTTATGTCTAACCTTATTATTGATGATCGTTTTTATTATTTTTTTTTAACTGGAAGTATTGCAGGTTTTGTAACTTGGTATAGGCCTACTTACCCTTAAATCAATTTTAAAAGTATAGCATGCTGATTGTGTACATTAGTGTACAAAGATAGTAATAAACAAAACACAGAAATATAAAGTTCCAATAGGGCTTGTTAGTAGGTCACAACTTCTCGTTCTCGTACTTGCCAGCGATAGTAGATTTCGAGACCGTAGACTTACAAGCCCTATTGCGATGTGCCACACCCCCTCAATAACGCACATCTATATATAATTCTTGGGGACATTAGAAAACAAGCTGTAAGCGTGCCTTGCAGTCTCCTCTCTTCCTCTCTAGGCATATCACATGGTCTAGTGAGCTGTGGTTCACGCTAAATGTTTACAAACGTAGAGCTGAGTTTAGTGACAGCTATTAGGGGCAGATAATTTAGTTTAAAACAATTTTAAACTTAGGGTAGGTAACTAAGAGGCTGCTGCTTTCAGGGGGGGGGGGGGGGGGGGGGGTAAGGGTTGGGGGAAAGGAGGGGGGGGTATCGTCCTTAACGAGCTACTGATAGTGTTTTAAAGCAAATTTTTTCAGTGACAGCAGTGTTACTGTCGAATTCACAAATTATGAATTACTGAAAAGTAGAAAATAAAACAACTAAATAGCGTGCATGATACGCCGCGGATCGGCTCGTGTTTATTATTTTAATATTAGGCCTAAGCTGTTTGTTTATCTCACTTTACAATAGTAGTAGCTTTTCTTACTAAATCTAGAATTTACCCAAATTTCAAATTAAACATGACTACTGAATGATAGACATCCATATTTAATCCATTAGGGACTAATTTTGAAGTTTTTAGTTCGTTTTAAACTAAATTACTTAATTTAATATTTATTGACACTCACTGCCATGGACAACACATCTCTCCATGACAACTCTTCTTACCCCTGAAGGCACTTGAAGCTAAAGAGAACCACAAATGCGGTTAGACTTTTTAAGTGGCCATGTACCCAGAGTTCCCCACTAGTGATCATCAAATAGCAGTCACGTGGTCAAAAAAATAAAAAAAATTTGGTTGTCATTTTTTGGCCACTCTTATAAAAAAAAGGGTTGACTATATTTGATTTATTTTTTCATAGACTGATAAAACTAATAATGCTTTAGTAGGGAAATCAATTTTGTAATAGGGAAATCTATATTTAAAAAGTTCTAGTATTTTTGATGAAACCAACTTTTAAATTTAGCCTTCATTCTCCAACGCAAATTTTAAAATGCTTTTCTGGCATATATAGCCCTGCCACCTATAGCTTGTTGTTATAACGTGAAAGTCCCGCCATTTTGCGCGTGGTAAACATTTTAAAAACTAATTAGTAGAAGGTCTCTGGAATTTGGCCGAAAAATCGTCGGAAGTCAAGCGTCCGGTCCGGGCGCCATATTGTTGTTAGCAACCGGCCACGCCTCCGGGTTAGCGAGAAATACTAAATAGTAGGCCTAATAATAATTAAAATTAATTTTCAAATTTTTATTAGGGGCCTACTTATTTGGGTAAGATTAAGATTTTTACTAGATCTAGATTCTACTAATTAAAAAAAAACAAACAAGAAAAGTGTTAAGTTTTAACGAAGGTCACAGGTCAAGTATTCTTTCTTTTATTTCTTTTAGTTTCAGTCAAGTTCAGGGGGGTGCCACAGGCTGACCTGACTGGAATTTTTTTCAGTAATTTACTAATTTTGCACAGAAATTTAAAATATGCTAAATTGGCTTAGTTTACTAGTGTGCTGGCTACTAGATCTAGATCTACTGATACATTTTTTATAAAAAAATTATTTTGAAATTTTGATTTTCGCCAAAATGCCTACTGACTGATTAGACCGATTAGGCGTTTCGCGTCTCGCAATTTACCAGCACCCCATTGCACATCGTTAGCTTACCTCCAAGAACAACTAATCCTGAAATGCTTCCAAGCACAATAGCTCTTGATTTAATCATTTTGATTACGGGAATGCTCAAATTCAAAAGGGAGTATGCTCATGCACTCACTTTGGAGTGAGATCTAAACTAGTTTTCTAACAGCCTGTGGAAAAAACAAGTGCAACAAAAATATTAGTTTCGGCTTTCCAGGAACGATAGCCAGATAAAATCTATGAAAGCTAAAAGCCAAAAAAAAAAAAAAAATAAATAAAAAAGACTGAAGAGAAAAGTATTATGCTATTACCCACTTAGCTTTAAGCAGTGTTCTTACAATCTGATAATCGATTTAAAAAATCTAAATAAAATAAATTATTTTAATTGGAATGTTTAAATTTCAACTTTTAATTTACAATTTATGAAGAAATGCTAATAATTTGATACTACTATTACTAGTTTCCGATTTGATGATTCATTTTTAACTTTTATTTCCAATGCCGTGATTTTAATGTAATTTTTATAAAAGTTTTACACGTGGCTTTATATATTATTAGACTAATAGTTTGGATACTTTCTGGAGCTGGAACCTATGTGGCTGCGAAAACATAAAGGACAAAGAAATGTTATAAAGCCAATATGGTAAGTCAGACTTCCTGGGGAAAGGCTCATAAGCATTAGCCAATGAAATGTGTTTTCCCATGCACTCACGTGATAAGAATAATAAGATGTATGAAAGAACTAAATAATGTATGAATCCGTACAGAATGTGTCATACTATCCAAATGTCACACAATCGCAGGATAGAACCAGTGTATAACAATGGTTTCAATAATCAATTTCTACAATGGACGCTGACAATAATGAAATGTCAAGTCAGGATGACAAATAAGGGTCTATAACTGCTCATTTATAGACAGTTATATTTTTATATAGGATAGGCGTGTAGATAGACCGAAAAGAGACGAGTGCAAAAAAGGCACCATTACATTATGTCAATAAAGCGGGAGTGAGCTCCCCTCAATTTGCTCGTATATTCTTCTATATAACAGTAACAGTAAGGGTTCCAGTGTAATCAATCTACACAAATATAGAGGTTTGTGACAAACCGCTCATTTTTTTTTGTGGAACATGCTTTATGTGAATAAGATACACAATTATCACATTCTGAAGGGTTTTGAGAAATTCGAAATTGAGGAAAGTCTCTTCTGGTTACTAGATCTAGAAATCGCTCAAAAATTAATACAAAACTATGTACAGGAACTAATAGGCTACATATAGGCTATATGCGAAATTACATCCATCTAACTTAATAAATGGTTCTCAAGTTATGGCAGTGTGAGGCTGTAGCTGACATATCAGTATTCAGTAGCGAGGTATGAAGCAAGCAGCGGATGTAAGCGGAGTTCTACTATGACCTGGCACTCATAACAAACAAATCGTCGTGAGAAATGTTAGTTGTTGATAGTTTTGAGAACACAATGTACGAAAACTAAAATATATTTTTTTTTAATATGTCGGCTTTTGGATCGTCTTAAACATTTTATTTAGATTAATCTCCAAAACCGCTAACTGTTCTGAAAAAGTGTCTTAGAACATATATATATATATATATATATATATATATATATATATATATATATATATATATATATATATATATATATATACGCATATACTTGTACATAAAGAAGACACTGAAATATTGCAACACAAGCTACTTGAACTATAAGCTCTTTAGTTAATGGCTTTAAATGTTATACTGCAGTCTAATTAGATAAATATGTTTTTATAGCCTACGCGCTTTGAACGTTTCAGTTTTAAAATTAAAAAAAAAATGATTTTCAAGTCAGGGATTACATCAACGGTTTGATGAGAAGGACTAGTGTTTAGATCAGTAGTATTTATTTCCAGTTCTGTTTACATATTAAGTAGGTTTATAGAAATAAATCTAAAAAAACAAAATGCCTACAATCAGTGGCGTAGCGAGGTCGGGTGTCACCCGGTGCGGCACATAATGGTGTCACCCCCCCCCAGAGGCATAGAGACCCTTCCCAGGGACAAACTTTCAAATTTTAAATTTGCTTTTTAGATTTTCTCTATATATTTTGCTATTTTTTGCCTTGGTATCACCCCCCTAAATGGTGTCACCCGGTGCGGTCCGCACCCCCCTGCCCCCCCCCCTCGCTACGCCCCTGCCTACAATAAGCACATACTATGCAGCGCATACCCCATCCGAAACAGTACAAGCTACCTTAACCTTAACCTAAACCATAAACCTAACCAAAAGAAAACTGAACTGATACTCATTTAAAATAAGCAATACACGAAGAACTAATTTTAGCTAAACTTTATTTCCCCATAATCCAACATTACTTCCCTTTTCTTGTTGGTCTACAATGAACCAAACCTAAACTTTGTGTGTTATGTCCCTTGTCGGCGACTGCTACAATGTATTTAACGAACGACTCGCACAGAGTTACACAATGTTCTGAGCTGTTCTGATCGGGAATCACGCTCATAGTACATAGAATAGAGGGGTAGGGGCGGTTAATTATTTTTTGATACACTTTTGAACCGCACCAAGCTATCACATGAGGGGCCATTACTGAGAAGAACAAGACTAGGGGCTATCACTCGTGTAGAGAAGAACAAATGGGCTATCACTCGTGTAGAGAACAAGACTAGGGGCTATCACTCGTGTAGAGAAGAACAAAGGGGCTATCACTCGTGTAGAGAACAAGACTAGGGGCTATCACTCGTGTAGAGAAGAACAAGACTAGGGGCTATCACTCGTGTAGAGAAGAACAAAGGGGCTATCACTCGTGTAGAGAACAAGACTAGGGGCTATCACTCGTGTAGAGAAGAACAAGACTAGGGGCTATCACACGTGTAGAGAAGAACAAGACTAGGGCCTATCACTCGTGTAGAGAAGAACAAGACTAGGGGCTATCACTCTTGTAGAGAAGAACAAGACTAGGGGCTATCACTCGTGTAGAGAAGAACAAGACTAGGGGCTATCACTCGTGTAGACAAGAACAAGACTAGGGGCTATCACTCGTGTAGAGAAGAACAAGACTAGGGGCTATCACTCGTGTAGAGAAGAACAAGACTAGGGGCTATCACTCGTGTAGAGAAGAACAAGACTAGGGGCTATCACTCGTGTAGACAAGAACAAGATTATGGGAACTCTACAACCCCTTCCTTAAACTAACAGCCTCCGACTGTTCCGCATGAGTGAGGTCACCGTGAAAATCAATATCAGTCCTCTCTTTTGTTGCCGCCCATACATACGGCTAGGGTCACAAAGTGTGACAATAAAAAATGCAAGCGTCTTACAGGCGCATGCGCACTACCACTCATGGGGTCTCGGTGTAGATTACGCACCTACCTTATGCCGCCTATCCACACCATTACCGTATCCACATAGTGCCGCCTATCCACACCAATATCTTATCTATCTAGTGCCGCCTATCCACACCAGTACCTTATCCACAGAGTGCCACCTATCCACACCAGTACCTTATCCACAGAGTGCTGCCTATCCACACCAATATCTTATCCACAGAGTGCCGCCTATCCACACGAGCACCTTATCCACATAGTGCCGCCTATCCACACCAATATCTTATCTATCTAGTGCCGCCTATCCATCTTTGTATGTTTTACGTAAGAAGATGATACTTCCTACTGGCTTGAGTGTAAAACTATACGGAAATGTGAAAAATGCACGTATATAAAGTTAAGCAAATATTATACACGTAATAAACAATTGCACTAACATTATTCATGTAATATAAAATAGTACAAGCATTACACATGTAATTTAAAATAGCACTAACATACACAGTGTTTCTTCCAGACTTTTTCTCCGGGGGGGGGGGGGGGGGGGGGCACTTGAAATTTCGGGGAGTGGGGAGGGGGGGCGGTAGACTTTCTTCGGGGGGGGGGGGGGGCGGAAACTGTTAAAACGAAAAATGTAATTGAAAACGGATTTTTATCCAGAATCGGCATTTTATTCGAGTTTAAGCTTGATCTACACGTAGTAACTGCACATTGATACTAAATATAGTCGTTGCCACCGTTGCCATACCCCTAAACCTTGCACCTAACCTCAAACATGACAAAAGTCGCATTTAGAGTTTCTTTCACTCGACTATACCCCTTCCCCCCCCCCCCTCCCCTCCACCCCCACTTACACCCCAAAGCGCATCTATCGTTCCATTCAACGAAATACAATCTTTTATACAAAATATACTTTTACCAGTGTCCGATCCACCAATAAAATTTAATCCACTCCCAACCCCGAAAATTTCAAGTACCCCCCCTCCGGAGAGCAAAAAGCCTGAAAGAAACACTGGACGCATTTATAGATCACACAGACTAAAGGTAGAGCCTGCTTCTATAATATAGACCAGTTTCCTACTTTTGGCCGATAGATGTCAATCACGGAGACAGTGTTTCTTTCATTTTTAAAAATGTGTGTGTGTGGGGGGGGGGGGGGGGGGGGAAGGGCTTAAATCTTTTCCGGGTGAAGCGAGCCCTGTGGAGTGTACTTGGTGGAGTGTATTAGGTGGAGTGTACTAGGTGGAGTGAGCCTTGTGGAGTGTACCTGGTGGAGTGTACTTGGTGGAGTGTACTTGATGGAGTGTACTTGGTGGAGTGTATTAGGTGGAGTGAGCCTTATGGAGTGTACCTGGTGTAGTGTACTTGGTGGAGTGTGCTAGGTAGAGTGAGCCTTGTGGAGTGTACCTGGTGGAGTGAGCCTTGTGGAGTGTACCTGTTGGAGTGTACCTGGTGGAGTGTACTTGGTGGAGTGTACTTGGTGGAGTGTACCTGGTGGAGTGTACCTGGTGGAGTGTACTTGTTGGAGTGAGCCTTGTGGAGTGTACTTGGTGGAGTGTACCTGGTGGAGTGTACTTGGTGGAGTGTACTTGGTGGAGTGTACTTGGTGGAGTGTACCTGTTGGAGTGTACCTGGTGGAGTGTACCTGGTGGAGTGTACTTGTTGGAGTGAGCCTTGTGGAGTGTACCTGTTGTTGTGTACTTGGTGGAGTGAGCCTTATGGAGTGTACTTGGTGGAGTAAGCCTTGTGGAGTGAGCCTTGTGGAGTGTACCTGTTGGAGTGAGCCTTGTGGAGTGTACCTGTTGTTGTGTACTTGGTGGAGTGAGCCTTATGGAGTGTACTTGGTGGAGTAAGCCTTGTGGAGTGAGCCTTGTGGAGTGTACCTGTTGGAGTGAGCCTTGTGGAGTGTACCTGGTGGAGTGTACCTGGGGGAGTGTACTTGGTGGAGTGAGCCTTATGGAGTGTACCTGGTGGAGTGTACCTGGTGGAGTGTACCTGGTGGAGTGTACCTGGTGGATTGTACTTGGTGGAGTGTACTTGGTGAAGTGTACCTGTTGGAGTGAGCCTTGTGGAGTGAGCCTGGTGGAGTGTACTTGGTGGAGTGAGCCTTGTGGAGTGTACCTGTTGTTGTGTACTTGGTGGAGTGTACCTGTTGTTGTGTACTTGGTGGAGTGTACCTGGTGGAGTGTACTTGGTGGAGTGTACCTGGTGGAGTGTATCTAGTGGAGTGTACCTGGTGGAGTGTACTTGGTGGAGTATACCTGGTGGAGTGTACCTGGTGGAGTGTACCTGGTGGAGTGTACTTGGTGGAGTGTACTTGGTGGAGTGTACTTGGTGGAGTGAGCCTTATGGAGTGTACCTGGTGGAGTGTACCTGGTGGAGTGTACTTGGTGGAGTGTACTTGGTGGAGTGTACTTGGTGGAGTGAGCCTTGTGGAGTGTACCTGGTGGAGTGAGCCTTGTGGAGTGAGCCTTGTGGAGTGTACTTGGTGGAGTGTACTTGGTGGAGTGAACCTTGTGGAGTGTACCTTTTGGAGTGAGCCTTGTGGAGTGTACTTGGTGGAGTGTACTTGGTGGAGTGAGCCTTGTGGAGTGTACCTGTTGGAGTGAGCCTTGTGGAGTGAGCCTTGTGGAGTGTACTTGGTGGAGTGTACTTGGTGGAGTGTACCTGGTGGAGTGTACCTGGTGGAGTGTACCTGGTGGAGTGTACTTGGTGGAGTGTACTTGGTGGAGTGTACTTGGTGGAGTGAGCCTTATGGAGTGTACCTGGTGGAGTGTACCTGGTGGAGTGTACTTGGTGGAGTGTACTTGGTGGAGTGAACCTTGTGGAGTGTACCTTTTGGAGTGAGCCTTGTGGAGTGTACTTGGTGGAGTGTACTTGGTGGAGTGAGCCTTGTGGAGTGTACCTGGTGGAGTGAGCCTTGTGGAGTGAGCCTTGTGGAGTGTACTTGGTGGAGTGTACTTGGTGGAGTGAACCTTGTGGAGTGTACCTGTTGGAGTGAGCCTTGTGGAGTGAGCCTTGTGGAGTGTACTTGGTGGAGTAAGCCTTGTGGAGTGTACGTGGTGGAGTGTACTTGGTGGAGTAAGCCTTGTGAAGTGAGCCTTGCAGTATTGTAAACAGTTCAACATAAGTTGAAATAAAAACTAACAGTAGAATAATA